CTAATTTTTGTTATTTCCTGCCTTCTAATGTTTTTTTTCACTCACTATTTTTTCAGTTCTTTTGGATGTAAAATTAGATTATTTGAGCTTTTCTTGTTTACTGATGTGGGTCCATATTACTATGAACTTCCTTTTTTTTTTTAAAGATTTATTTATTTATGCATATAGAACTGGGGTACAGGCCAGAGATACGGTGGTGAGAGGATTCACCAGAGACAGAGGGGAGCAGAACAGGCAGATCGACCAAGTACACTGCTGAGGGCAGCAGTGGGTGGGCCAGGAGAGGTCTGCTGTGCCATGTGGCCACCTCCGGGGCAGGCGGGAATCGGGAATCGAACTCATGCGGAAGTGGCTTCAGCCTCTTAGTGCTGTGCCTTAATCCGCTGCGCCACCAGGGAGGGCCTGAACTTCCTTCTTAATACAGCTTTTAGTACACCCCATAGGATCTAGCAACTTGTCTTCATTTTTTTGTTGATTTCCAGATCATTTCTATTTCTACTTTGAATTCTTCATTAGCTCATGAGTTATTCAATTCAAAAGCATTTTGAGTTATTCAAAAGCATGTGCAGCATTTAGTCTGCACATTTGGAGTTACTCCATATTTCTTTTTGTGGTAAGTTCTAACTTCATGCCGTTTTGATCAGAAAAGAAGTCTGATATAATTTCAAATTTGATATTCTGATATTTTTGAGACATTTTTTTGTCCCAGCATATGATCTAAACTAAACAAGTTCCGTGTGCACTTGAGTAGAATATGTATTCATTTTTTTGGAGGAAGGCTTTGTAGATGTCTACTAAGTCTATCTGATCCATAGATTCATTTAAGGTCCTTACTTCCTTTTTCTCTTTATCTGGATGATCTAGCCCATTGATATAAGTGATGTCTTCAGATCTCCTGCTGTAATTATGTCGCTATCAATGTGTTGGTTTATTTCTGTTTACAGGTGAACAGGTGACTGGCAACTCCTGGAGACACAGTGCATGTCTGAGTCCTTCCCAGTTTAAGGTGTTAATTCACTTATTAAATTTGCATGGAGCATTTGTAATGGGCAGTCACGGCACCGTGTTGGGGTCGCACAGGGCTTGCGGTGGTGACAAAGCCAAGAAGGTGATCGCTTTCAGCCTAACCAGGAAAGACGCGAAAGTGGCTGGTGGTAATGTTACAGGGCACCCCAATGTGAATTGGGTTGCCTGTCTGTGGGTCTTCACCCGTGCGCTTACGACTCAATCATATTATGAACACACTCAAAAGGTTAAATAATGGATTGATTTATAAGGAGAAAGATAAAGGAATAACCCAGGGAAAGAGGGAGAGAAACACAGGTTACCTAGGATGTCCTACCAGTTCTGCTGACTTGGACTCCACCGGCACGCTGAAAACCGATGGAGCGCCAAAACGATCAGCTGCGAACCACCAGGTCGCTCCCAGAGCGGACATGTCCAGTTTTATCCCAACCTGGCTGCTCAGCTCCGCCCTCACATCCCTGCGTGCTTCTTCTTGGTACTGATGGGGTTTGTTGTTCCAGCATCTGGAGTAGGGGCTGGGTCCATGAAACCTGTACCTGTTACAGTAAGTGCCGCATAAAACACGGGCAGGGACGCGGTGCAGGACGCTCAGAAAAGTTCCACTTAAGCTGAGATCCAGGGTCCTCCCTGGTGGCGGGAGGAGTAAAAGCGCAGGGTGTGACCCACAGGCCGCGACAGACCTCTCCGGACCCGCCCGCTGCTCCCCTCAGCACTATCTCAGTGGATCTGACTGCTGTGCACCCCACTCTGTCTCAGCCCTCCCACCCAGTCGTCCCTCCCCCGCGAATTTCTGGCCTGTACCCCAGTTCTCCCATGCATACATGCATAAATACATCTCAAAAACAAGAGACCCGGCTTCCTCAGGAGGCGCCTAAGGAACC